CACAATCCTCCAAGGGCCGCCTGCTCCCCTGAGCATAAAATCCAGACCTCTTGCCAGCCTTCCGGGTCCTACAGCAGAGGGTCTCAGGGGGGTCTCCCAGCTGCCTGATAGAGCCGTGTGGGGAGGTTTTGTACAAACCCGAGGCCTATACAGCCTAATCAGAGACTCTGGGGCAATGGTTCTTCGACTGGGGGTAACTTTGCCCCAGGGGACATCTGACACTATATGAAGACATTTTTGGTTCTCACAACTAGGGACTCAGTACTATTGGCATCTAGTGGGTAGGGAGCAGGATCCTGCTAACCATCCTACAATGCACAGGCCAGACCCTATAATGAATGATCTGGCCTCAAATATAGCGTGGAGGCTGAGGGGCTGCTGTAGACATCGGTGCCCACTTCACCAGGCGTGAGCACCAGCGCCCCCCTCGCCCCCCGCAGTCTGGCTCCTGCTGGCTTCTTTCTCACCTCCCACCCTCTTGTCCTCACTGACCACGTTCTGCCACCACAGTCTTCTCTCTGGTCCGAAGCACACCCTGCTCATTCCTACCCCTGGGCCTTTGCATCTGCTGCTCCCTCTGCTGAGCGCGCCCTGCACATGTCGGCAGAGCTGGCTCCTTGCACTCAGGTCTCCGCTGCCTGGATCTTCCCTCCCACAATGCACACCTAAAATAACTCCAGTCCCCAAGTCCCTCTGTAGCACTGCTCTGGTTCTGTTCCTTCAACACGCTGGGACCTACTCAAGTGATCTCATTACTACTCAGCACTAGTCTGTCTCCCCCACTAGAATGACAGCACTCTGAGAACAGGGTCCATGTCTGTCTTGCTCACCACCCTCCCCTAACATCCAGCAAAGTGCCTGGTACTCAACTTCTTTACTAAATATCTGATGACTGACTAAATGAATGGACAAGCATTGGGGGAGAATGGGGTTTTCAAGCTGTTGGAGGATCAAGTGCATTGCTAGAGACCTGGGCTCCTGTCCTGGCCCCACTTTCTTCTCCTGGCGTCAGTTTCCATATCTGTAATATGGCCCAGATGGGTTCAATGGAATTAGGCTCCTCCTAAAGGGGGAAGCGGGGGCCCTCTTGGAGACATCAACTGTAGCATTTTGCTTTGGTCTTGTCTCCATGGCACACAGCTAAGGTAGGTTGGTCCATACTCCTGTTACCAGATAAATAACAAATTTCTTCCCACTGAGATCCTAATTATTTAGTCATTTTGTCTGGTCTTTTTTTTTTTTTGAAAACTTTCCTGTTTCCATTTCCCTCTGCACTAGCTGGACACATCTAGCATCAGCGCTGGGCACAAGTAGGTACTCCCCGGTAATATTCCCCAGGCGTGGTTCCCAAGTATTAACTGGATACAAATGGGCTGGTTAGAAAGTCTTAACCTACAAACAGACTTGATTCATTAGGTCCAAGGTGATGGGACAGACTAAAAACTGGAGCCCAAAGATATCCAGGTTCTAATCCTTGGAAACCATGAAAGTTACCTCAATATTGCAAAAGAGACTTCGTAGAAGTTGAGTGTGTTGAAATGAGAGATGTTTCTGGATGGCTAGGTCCTAGATGCAATCACAAGTATCCTTATACGAGTGAGATCTGACCACGGAAGAAGGCCACGTGACCACGGAAGGGAGAGGCGATGCTGCTGGCCTTGATGATGGAGGAAGGGGCCACAAAGAACGCACTTACTTCTACTTCCTCATTTTGCAGATGGGGACACTGAGGCTTAGGGAACTCTGCAGCAAGGCGGAAGGATGAGAGATGTTTTCATTCAGCTCTATCGGCTTTCAAATTCCACTTGGAGTTTTTAAAATGAGCGATGGTGCAGACTGCCAATAGCTTTGCAATAATCTCATAATGACCCAATCGTGAAACGATTTCGCAATCCTGCTGCTAATTGTATTTGGGGAGATAGCAATTGGGTAACTAGTTGGTTATTACTCATTCCCCAAGAGCCATACACATCGAATTACAAGGAAGCTAATCTTAGAAATACTTGTTAACTCCGATGATAATTACTAAGTAATTGGCTAGAACACGCCATTGTGAATTTAGCTGGAATATGCCAGGTAATTATCTGGTCTTATGTTCCCTGTAAAATAAATCCAGGGTCCAAAAATTGTTCCAGTTGGTTGGCTATTGTCCAACCATCAACCTCGGCCAACCAGTTACGCGGATGCAGGTGATTAATCAAATTACTCAAATATCGGGTTTCAAACTGAACATTCAGATAAGAGATCTGATGGTCAACAAGTGGGCGGTGCTAAATGGGAGAAGGGGGTGCACAGAACCCCTCCCAAGATAAATATATAATGACACAATAATATGGAATAAATGCCACTTCTTTGGGGCTCATCTGGCTTCTTCACACAAAATACCAAAACACTTCAGAGACCAATTACATGTCCCAAAGCTGCAGAGTCTTTATCACGGTGCCAGGAAAAGGCTGCGCTATTTGTGAAATCTGCAGGCAGTTACGGCGCTCAGGGAGGGGGCAGGGCGTGGAGTTTGTACATAATAGAAAGGGGCCACAAACGCAGCTGGCTTACAGGATGAGTGACACATTTTCATAATGACCACTCGTTTCTCAAGAATGACTGCTAGGGCGCCTGGGTGGCTCAGATGGTTAAGCATCTGCCTTCGGCTCAGGTCATGATCCCAGGGTCCTGGGATCGAGTCCCGCATCGGGCTCTCTACTCCTTGGGAGCCTGCTTCTCCCTCTGCCTCTCTCTCTCTCTCTGTCTCTCATGAATAAATAAATAAAATATTAAAAAAAAAATTAAGAATGACTGCTAACCGAATCTGTCCATTTCCAATTAGCCAGCCCTTGGGAAGGGGGTGAGGGAGGCTTGGGGTACTGGGCTCCACCAGTAAGCTGAGGAAGTCGGGGGGATGGCAAGAGGTCCTTAGAAGGGCCAGGCAACGGACAGGAGATGATGGGTTTGGAATTTCTACTTTGGGGATGTCAAAAAAGAGGGGTTAGAGGACCAGAATGTGAGGAGCTGAGCAGAGAGAAATTTGGGAGTGACAGACTGGTGGGAGCAATAGGCAGAAGACCAGTGTGTGTGTGTGGGGGAAGACCACCTTCCAACCAGATGTGTGCACCCCAAATAAAGGGCTATGCATGAGGACGATACATTCTGGATAACAAAGAGGAGGAAAGGAGCTGTGGCAGGTTGTACAAGTGGCCACAAATTGTCCCTCTCCCTACATCTATGGCCCTGCAATGTGACATTGCAAACCCTCCCCTGCAGAGGCAGACTCTGTTTCTCCATGCCTTGAATCTAGGTTGACCACGCAACTTGCTTTGGCCAATGTCCATCGGTCAATGCAACACGGACAGAGGTGTGAAAGGCACTTGCCCATCAAGGCTCGACCTCTTATTGCCCTTGGAACCCTGAGACCACCCTGGGAATGAGCCCAAGCTAGGCTGTTGGCGGATAAGAGACCATGAGAAGGGGAACTGGGGCACCTCTGCTGATAACCTGACAACCTGTAGACAAGTTAGTGAGGACACCCAAGAGTGACCAGCCCCCTGGCCTGACCTGCCAGCTGACCACAGACATGTCCAAGAGCCCAGCTATGGGGCCTGGCTCTGCATAGAACTGTCCACAGAATAGAGGAAAACTCTGAAGTACTGGGGATAGTTTGTTACTCAGCACAAGCTTACTGATACACTCACCTCCTGAGAACAGCTCAGCCTCTGAATATGATCTGAGCTGGATATTTGAAAGCCTCTTCTGTCCCATTCAGGGCTGAGAACCACCATTTTTACCCTGGTTTAGGGAGAACTGAAGGGCCATCTCTCGATCTCCAATCCTTTGAAAACATTTACCACTGGACACATGGATTCAATCCATCATCTGCATAATCAATGCTAATGGACAATAACACACCTTCTTCTGACCACTGAGATCTTATAAATGGGCTCAAGGATGCTTTGTATCACAAGGGAACAGACCAAAGACATACCAGCTCTTCCCTGAGCTCACAGCTCCTGCCAAGATGAGAGGCTTGTGTATTTGGGATCTTATCACTTGAGCAGAGAATGGGAAGGAGAGAGCTGACTCTTGGCATCCCAGGCCACGCCAGGAATGGCCCTGCTGTAGCCAGTCCTAATGCAATGGGGGAGCAACAACCAGAGTTTAAAAACACACCAAAGGATTGTTTCACAACTGTTCAACTGAAGCGAAAGCTATTTTTTTTTTTTTTCAATGCCCCATGTCACTGGGTGATGTCAGAGAGCAAGTTCAGGAAAGTTGCTATCATCTGACATTTTCTTAATGTCAGATTTTCTCACTACCCCTCCTGTGCAGCTAGAGTTCAGGGATCCTGGATATTTAAAATAGCAGTGGTAAAGCCCTGCAAATGTTATCTGCTGCTTTAATGAAGCCAAAATAACAGTCATCACGATCTTAGCCCATGGGTGGCAAAACTAGGGCCTCAGGGCCAAATCCAACACATCACCTGCTTTTATAAATAAAGTTTTATTGGCACCCGGCCACATACATCCATTTACATCTTGTCTGTGGCTGCTTTCACATCCCAGTGAACAGAGTTGAGCAGTTGCTATAGAAACTGTAGGGCCCATAAAGCCACCAATATTCACTACTGGGCCCTTTACAGAAAAAGTCTGCCAACCCCTGATTGGATCCAATCAGTTCAATTTACATACGGAGACAGTGAGTCTCAGCAATGTTGTTTCACAAATACTTGGAGCACAGGGGGACCCGAACCAACTTTCCTACCTTCCCACTTACGGTCCTCTCCCCGTGGCACTGCTCTGCCAAAGAGTTTTAGCATCAAAAGTATTTTCTGGAATCTCAAATCGTAAAACCACATAATTGTGAATGGTAGAGCTAGAGATGCTCCATTCGCCAGAACGACGCATTAACCAGAACCCCCCCACCCCTTCTCAACCCTGCCAGAGGCAGGACTCTGGGAATGGGTCCATGGTGGGGGTGGTGGGCAGGGAGCCCCGGGCAGGACTGACCTGGTGATGATGGCCAGGTGGGGCGGGCTCATGCAGGCGCCCATGAAGAGCACCACGTTCTCATGGCGTGTCTGCCTGTAGGCCATCACCTCCCGCTTGAAGGCCTTGAGCTGCTCCTCGTTATCCCTCTCGATGTCGATCAGCCGGATGGCCACCTCGCCGTGCCAGCGGCCATGGTACACCTGCCCAAAGCGGCCCTTGCCGATGAGCTCGCCGACCTCCAGTTGCTCAAAAGGGATGTCCCACTCCTGCAGGAAGATGCTGGTCTGGCTGGCCTTGCGCGGGAAGCTCCGGGCTGAGAGCAGGGACAGGTTCATCTCCTCGAAGTCGTCCTCCGACTCTTCGGCCTCATCGTGGCCCTCTTCATTCTGTGGCCAGAAAAGGGGAGAGAGGTCAGAGCGGCTCCTGCCCCTGCCCCGCCTTCCCACGAAGTCCCCCCGCGTCTGAACACGTCTCTAGGTGCATTTTCAGCTGGTGGGGACATGTACCTATTTGCCCCAGGTCGCTCTTGTCCTAGAATCGTAGAAGATGAAGGAGCTAAAAGGGAGATCACGATAATCCAACGCTCTTTTGCCAAGGGGGAAACTGAGGCTCATAGAGGAGAAACACTAGGGGACCACCCATGCTGGTTTGCTGGACTTCCCTGGTTTGGGCACTAGAAGTCTCCTTGGGGAGGGGGCGCCAGGCTGGCTCAGTCGGTAGAGCATATGACTCTTGATTTCGGGGTTGTAAGTTTGAGCCCCACATTGGGTGTAGAGATGCCTTAAAAATGAAAGTCCCCTTGGGAAGCCCTTTGGTCCCAGCAAACGGGGATGGTTGGTCACCCCGGGAGGTTGCCCAGCTCTACATCACACAGCCAGGCAGAGCTAGGGCTAAGAAGCAGGTGTCTCGACTCCTAATCTCCAACGCCCACCGATTCCACCGTGATGTATTGACCTGCCTACTCATGTGTGTGTAAGACAGACAACAGGCTGAACTGTGGGTGCAACAGATGTCTGCACAGAACACCTCAATATGGAGTGCCTTTTGCTTCCCCCAGGGGATTTGGAACCGATGTCAGAAACGGGGAGAGGTCAGAGCTCCTCCGCACAGGCCAGATGCCCGGGCTTTCTCTGCAGCTGTGGCGTCAGGGCTTGGAAGGGAGGCTCATAGGATGGGCTTACCAATCGGACAAAATGAGCTGGAATCTGGCCTCTGTGTGATCTTGGGCAAACTGCTTGACCTCTCTGAGACTTCCTTCTCTCATCATAAAGTGGAGCTAATAAAATCCGCCCCCCCAACCCTGGGGGATGGTATGAGGTTTTCAATGAGATGAAAGCCTCTTAAGTCCCTTGCACACACCTGACCACCCGTATCCAACAATCCCTGGGCTTCCAGAGAAAACGTAGATTCCTGGGCCCTACCCAGAGCTACCGAATCAGAAAAGAGCAGGCTGGGGCCAGAACTCTGCATTTTTATCCCCACACACCCACACAGCCCAGGAACGCTTAGGTGTGACCACCGCAATCCTTAGACGCTGAAGGTCCAGGGACCTGCCTTCCCAGCGTGGTGGCTGGGAGTGCCCTGGCCCTTGGGTTCTTTTGCTTAAGTGAGGAAGCAGCAGGAGCTCCAGCCAGTGGGGATTCCCAGAGGCTTGGGGCCTGACGAGGCAGCCTGAGGTCTTCCTGACCCCAAACCTGAGCAAGCTGTCCCTTGTAGCACACTCAAGAGAAATGACACAGTCTCCGTTGGCTTCCCCCAGGATAATTTTTCAACTAGCCCAGTAATCGCAGAAAGGACACGATTTTCTCTGGACACCCTAGTTCTACTCCCTTCACTTTAGGACACAGCGACAGGGCTGAGGAGTCCATGGTTCTTACCCAGGACACTTCATTTATTCCTCCAGTAGTTTTGGCCAAGGGAAGAAGCCCCAGAACATTCTCAAAAGCCCGCCAAGCTCAGTGTCCCCGGGGACCCTGCCTCCCCCAGTGTATTCTTTGGAACGCAGTGGGACATATCCCCCTTGGTATTCCCCTGGCCCTAAGTTGATTTTTCAACTAAGAATTCAAATCTCTTGCCAACTTCTGCACAACTAGCTTTTCCATGATGCACACCATACAATGGCCCATTAGGCTTGGTGCTGGGAGGGCCGCCCCTGCTTGGACGCTACCCTCCCCGCCGCTTGTCAGTTGTCCCGGAGTTAGAACATCCATCAAACAGGTTTGCCCCCGTCCCCACCTGCCCCAAGCCCTCTGAGTCATTAAAGTCATCCGTCAACTCCGCCAAGCGCTGGGCAGCCCCAGGAAAAAGGTGTTTCTCCCTCTCCGAATCTCACCTCTGAGGTTGGCTCCACTTCAATTTGAAGTAATGGATTTCCTTCCAAGCTTTAAAGAAAGAAAAATAAATGTGACCCTCAGGTGAAAAGGGAGGTCGGTGTCTTATTGATCCATGTATGAAGAGTCTTGGAATGAGAAACCCTCACCATCAAGGCTTTATCTCAACTTTCACTTCAACACTTGTGTCTAAAATAATCCATAACCTCGCCACGAAGAAGCAATGACAAGGACACGGTTTTAAATAGGTTTTCGGGGCTGCTCAGGGCTCATTTTTTCTTTATGGCTTTGGTTTCCACTAATCTAGCAGCTTCCTTACACATTGGCCTAAATGCCATGGGCCGAAGGATCCTCAGAGCTCTGGGTGTTTGCTAGGAAAGAATTAATGAGATTGCTAAGTTCACTTGGGTTCAGAATCTTACGGGAGAACCCTGCAGTTCGGGATTACAGGTACCCCCTGCTTTCTGAAAGCTGGCATCACGCCACTTTGCTTTTACGAAAGATCTATGCTGGTATCTACCAAAAGAAATTTGAAGAGCGTTTTTGCTTTTATGAAAGAAGGTAAAAAGTGAACATGGCATTCAGCTTTTGTTTTGCAGCAAGCCATTATAGAGGTAGCATGCGCCCCGAGCAGCGTGAGGGGTGCCTCCAAGCTCCTTCCTGGGGAGCTACCCTCAGCATCTCAGCATCCAGCCACCAGAGCTTTGACCTGTGTCCATGAGCATCTGGGCTTCATCTACGAGAAGTAATTTTGGGGGCTGGGGGACACCCCCAATTTTTCCATATAAATGAATGATAATTGCTTCTTTGCATGACACCATTTTGGCTCCTGAAAGTTTTCATGGGAATGCTCTACTTTCAGATAGCTGGGAAAACCTGCCTGTGCCAGGGCTGGTGCGAGGCCATCAGGGGGATATGGAGTCGAAACTGGCGTGGCTCCTGACTTTGAGGAGTATTATATTACTACCGAAGGGACTAAAGCAAGCACAGAGATGCTATGCAGAAAGGCTAAAAGTGACACGGGCCGAAAGTTAGGTATGAATCGAATAAATGGAGTACGATGGAAATGCTCCAGGGAGATTACTGGATGTATTTTGAAAATTCTCAGTGTTTGAGTTAAAGTTGGATGTTGCCAATCACATCGAATCAGGAAGTGTGGAATGAGAACGAGCGAAACCGTATTGGACTGGAAGACACAGGTGTGTGTGTGCGCGCGCGCGCGTGTGTATGCGCACACGCAGATGTGTCCATGCGCGAGGGTGACGCAGTCATGAGCTCCTGAGCTGCAGCTGTGCTAAGCGTGGGCTCGTGCTGCGTGTGGGTGCTGGGGGACACAGTGTGCTTGCGTGTGTGAGTGCTAAGTATATATCAGCTACCACGTGAGTACAATGGGATGTGCTCTGTGTAGGGGTTGTTCTGGGTGCATGGGAGTTGGGTGTACCTCCTGGGGATGTTGGGGGCACGCCGTATGTTGACAGTGTAGCTGGGTATGTACTGGGGTCTCAGGGGATTGTCGGAGCACATGGTATGTGATGGGGATGTGAGGTGTTTCTGGGGGTGTGTTTGCAGAGGAGAGGATGTGTGTGTGTGTGTGTGTGTGTGTGTGTAGTGCGGTGGGGAGACAGTAACTGGGCTGCTGAAGGCACAGAAAAGCTGGAAACAGTGGCAGGAAAAAAATCACAATGAACACCTTGCGCCCTTCCTATTTCCCCTGGGGAAGCTTAGCAGATCCCCCTACCCACCCCTCATTTGAGGGGCCAGTGCTCTCCTGACCCTGAGACCCGAAGAAGCTGCCGACCCTGCAGACAGGGCCAGTCCACTTGCTGGAGGCGCTCCAGGTGACAGGGAGCCTGAGAGGCTAGAGGAATTAAAAGAAGGGGAAAGAAGGGTGGGTCACAAAGTGCTGTCTGCTTTCATATTAAGGAGTTATTTACAGTACGGAATGAAACCACCCAGCGACAGCTGAAATGCTGGGAACTTAACGCCTTGGGGCGATCTGGGTGGAACAATGCAGCTGGAGTCCCTCCTCACACCCAACGACAGAAAACGACAGAACAGGCAGCCCTCCTCCGCTTGCATCAGGCGTGATTACGGTAGCCCAGCGATTAAATGATTTCCTTCTGCGAAGAGTTAGAGCCCATTGCTCCATGCACGCTTAAGCAGATCGCAGGCAGCTACGGACTCTGTAGTTCACTGGCACGCCCTGACTGCCAGTTAATAACCTGGGGTTCGTCCTGCACAAATTGTGGAATTGGTTTACGTGCAGCAGGGAAACAATCCGGAGCTAGATGTCAGCACAATATCCCCGGTAAATTGCTGCTCCTTTAATGTCACAGATGTACCATTTGTCCATAACGCGGGTCAGAAAGGATGGAGTAGTTAGGAGAGCCAGAAGAACAACCGAGGAGGCAAACATGGGAGTTGGGAAGCTGGCCAAAACGAAATCAGGTCCCTAGCATGCCCCCCACTTCGGCCGCAACCGAAGAAGTTAAGTCAAGGAAGGTGGGTTTCACTTGGGGCTGCCCCACCAACAGACCACCTGGAAAGAGAGTCTGTGTCCCAAGGATACTTAAGATGCCACATGCAAAGACATCCATTGCAGTGTTGTTTACGACAGTGCAATATGGGAAGATAGGCGATCTGGCAATTGTGAAATGGTTAAGGACATTTTTCTACATCAATAATGATGTTTTACAGCCATTAAAAACAATGCCTATAAAGAGTCTGGAATAATACAAAAAATGCGAGGCTATAGCTTTACGGGATGACAAAGCTGGCTGGAAACTGTGTAGACCATGAAACGCAAGCATGTAAAACATGAATAGAAAGAGCACACGTCAAAGTTCTAAGAGCAGTACGACTACGAGTGATGATTTTTCCTTTCTCTTTTTACAGAGCAGTCCACGTTTTCCAAAATTAGCTCAGATTATTCTTATAATGGTATAAACCGGAGGTCAGCAAACTTGGTACGGAAAGGGCCAGATAGTAAATATTTTGGACTTTGCAGACCCTACAGTCTCTGTTGCCACTACTCAGCTCTCCTGTTGTACTTTGAAAGCCACATAGACAGTATGTCGTAAGCAAATGGGCGTGGCCGTGTTCCAATAAAACTTTATTTATAAAAACAGGTGGCAAATTGGATTTGTCCCATAGACTGTAGTTTGCTGATCCCTCGTATGACCCTAAATTATGCTTTCTAAAGGTGGGGGGACAATGACATAGGATAACCGTTCTTTCATTAAGCTCTAGCTATTGCAGAACGTTATCTTTCTGATCATAGAAGAGTCTGGGGATCCTAAGGAAATGGTCCAGCCCCTGGAAATCACCCTTGACGAGCAGGGCCGGGACACAAAGCAGAGCTGACTCGTCTGTTGGGCCCAGGCTGAGAGACGCTGTCACGCTCTCCTTCTCTTTACCTAAATCATTCCCTAAGTCTGTCTCTCCCCCAGTCTCCCACCCCATCAATTCCAGGAAGAGGAAGACAGAAGACAGCGGCCCTGAGCAGACTGAAGAGCCAGGGCAGGGGAAGGAGGTCTCTGTTCCACTTACATTGGATTCGAGGTCACTGGATGCAGGATGACCTGGGGCGCCCGGGTCGGGGTCTCTGGCACCGGCACCACATCTGAGAAGCAGACACGGGACAGTCAGAAACCCAACATGGAGTCCACAACCTCCCCCAAAGACCTGATTCCTGGGAGATGGGGCAGCTAGGAACCTCTCATCAGATCGTGGGTCCCTGGGGCTGGCCAGTCCCTCCTTTCCCTTCCTCGATCACTTGAACTCTTCCTGCTCACATGCACCCAAGATGGCCCCCTGAACAAAATACGTCACTGATAACAAGGGGGTTGCCAGAGCCCCAAGCCTCTGACTTGAAGCACCCACTGGTCACCTCTGAATCACCCCCTATTCCTGAGTTCTCTTTGGGCTGGTGAGGCCACTTGGTTTCACAGCTCCTGGTCCCCAACTCAGTCCCTCTGACCACCTCTCCCCTGCCACGTGGCTCTGGACCCCTCCTCACCCTGGCCCGTCCTTCTACTGCAGACCACCTTCTCAGGCCTTTCTGTTGTGCCTCGGGATCTCCTTGGTACCACAGTGCCCTTGGGACCTCCCAGCTTCTCCTCTCCCACCTCCTTGGCTCGCCATGATCCTGGGGGCTGGTGGTTCCACTGCTGCCCTCTTTGAGCTTGCCCACCCCAACAACCCTTGCCTTCATCCATTCCAGCAACGTGTGCCCCTCCGCAGGCTTCGCCGGGGGGCCTGAGCGCGCTCACGGACTCACCTGGGAAGATGAACTGCTGCTTGTATTTGTAGTAGTGGGACGCTTGCAAAAGAATGGAAACACCAAAGTCAGTGCTGTCCCGGGGCTGTCCCTTCGAATAACAAATCGGGCTCTCGCAGCCACTGTGTGGGTTCTCTGCCTACACCCGAGGGTTCCCAGATTTCTGCGGACACCCTAAATCACAAGGGCCTAAGAGCCTGCATAAAAGAACCAGGGCTCTACACATCCAAGCCAACCCTCCCACCTGCAGCTCCCTGAAAATAGAGCATCTCAACTTGGAGAGTCACCCAGGGCACAGTCCCATTTTTGTTAACTGCAGAGGGACAGACACACACACACACGAAGTCTTTGTCAAGCCATCTCTAAAATATTCATTTTTTCCCTTTGCCAGAGTGATTAGAGAGGCTTTAAAAAAAAACCCTTTATGACTTAATGAGATATCATCTCACCCCTGTTAGGATGTCTACTATCAAAAAGATAAGAGAGAGGTGCTGGCGAGGGTGTGGAGCAAGGGAAGAGCGTGGGGCACCATTGTTGGGGATGCAAACTGGTGCAGCCACTGTGGAGAACAGTCTGGAAGGTCCTCAAACAATTAAAAAACAGAACTATCACAGGATCCAGCACACCCACTTCTTGGAATATATCCGAAGGAAATGAAATCGCTATCCTGGAGAGATATCTGCACTCCCATGTTCATTGCTGCAATATTTATAGGAGCCAAGACATGGAAGCAACCCAAGTGTCCACTGATGAATGGATAAAGCAAATGGTGTGTGTGTACACACACACACACACACACACACAATATATTTATATATGTACATACAATGGAATACTATTCAGCTATAAAAAAGAGGAAATCCTGCCATTTGCAACCACATGGATAGACCTCGAGGGCACTGTGCTAAGTGAAATAAGTCAGACAGAGAAAGACAGATACTGTATGATATCAGTTAATATGTGGACTTTGGAAAAAAAAAAAAACCATATTCATAGAAACAGAACCGGATGGGTTAGGGGGCTGGCTGAAGGTGGTCAAAAGGCACAAACTTCGAGTTATAAGACAAATAAGTCCTAGGGATGTAACGTGCATCATAGCGACTACAGTTAACAATACTGTTTCGTATATTTGCAAGTTGCTGAGAGCGTACATCTTAAAAGTTCTCATCACCAGGAGAAAAATTTGTAGCTGTGTGTGGTGATGGATGGTGACTAAACTTAGAGTGGTGATGATTTTGCAACTTCATACATGCATCAAGTCATTCTGTGGTGCGCCTTCAACTTATACAATGTTGTATGTCAAGTATACGTCAATAAAATTGGAAAAAAATATGCATTTCCTGTGTTTTCCAAATTTTTGCTTTGAGCATTGTATTAGTGTTCCTGCTGCTGCTATAACAAATTACCACCCACTCGGTGGCTTAAAACAATACGTTTACCTTCTTATAATTCTAGAGGTATGAGAAGTGTGGAATAAGTCATAAAGGGCTAAAATCAAGGTGTCGGCAGGGCTGGTTCTTTCTGGAAGCTCCTGAGGAGAATCTGTCCCTTGCCTTTTCCAGCGATGAGAGCCTGCATCTCTTGGCCCAGAGCCCATCACTTCAGTCTCTGCTCTGGTCCTGACATCACCTCCTACCATCTCTGACCTTCTTGTCTCCCTCCTGTAAGGACCCCTGGGGTTACATTTAGGATCCATCTGGATAATCCAGAGTGATCTTCCCACCTCAGGATCCTTAACTTAATCACATCTGCAAAGACAAGTCACATAGGAAGTAACACATACAGAGATTCTGGAATTAGAGCATACTCATCTTTGGGGTACCATTATTCTGCCCACCATGAGCATGAGTTGATCTCTATATTTAGGGATAAAAGAAATTTCCTCAACCTCGCTGCCGATTTCGCCTACACTTTATTTCACTTCTGGTTCACTCACCAGAGGCCAGCTCTTCCGGATATCCCCGAGGTTTCTGATGTTACCAGTTACTGGTGACAGTGGGATGGAGATGGGAGCAGGGGGGACAAGGGTATCATGGGCATTGGGGAGGTCACACAGAGTTTCATCTCCCCAAGCAGAGGAAGTGAGCAGGAATGGGGTCAGATAGGAGTCTGAATTGATGAATACGCTTCCAGAAATAATTTTATTATGTCCGGGGCAACCTATGACTTGCACATTGACTCACCCAGAATTCATGGAGTGGATCAGAGGCTGGGGCCAGGGGTTGACAAACCATGGCCCATGGGTCAAGTCTGGACCATCACCTGTTTTTGTTCATAAAGTTTTATTGGAACACAGTCTCATGTTCATTCATTTGCATGCTGTCTCTGGCTACTGTCATGCTACAAGGTCATAGTTGAATATTTGCGACTGTATGGCCCACAAAGTCTAAAATATTACTATTAGGCCCATTATAGGAAAAGTTTGCTGACTTCAAGTGTAAAGCAAAGAGGAGCTGGACAGCAGGAGTGGGAGGCTGTTCCTAGAGGGTCGAATCCTCGCTCTTCCTTTGGCTGTTTGTAAAAGCTTAAGCAACTCTGAGTCTCAGTTTCCATGTGTGTAAAATGGGGATAATAACAGTCTTTCCCTCCCAGGGCTGAGATCATCACTACATGAGATCAGAGTGCGTAGTAGGGCTAAATAAGCATTAGCTGCAACGGTTAAGCCACTATCTTTCTAAGCTCTCTTAATAAACAGACAAGAATGACTTATAATTAAGAGAAAATCAATTTCAAAGAGCAAAGTCATTAGCTGCCCCTGAGGTTGGAACTGATTGATAAACTCTCCCAGGACAGAGAGCAAGTGTTGGTATCTCAGGATCCCAAGGGCCCTTGCACCAGTGGGTGCACGACTCATGTTTGTGGAATTAATCAACTCTCTTCCAGCACAGCAATCCCCAAATATCCCAGATAGTTGGAATCTGAACGGATGCATTTTCTAATTCTGGAAAATGAGGTGCCCGGGACGGGAAGCAACTCATTCGAAGTCACAGAGCAGAGCTTTAAAAGAGAACCAATCTCCGTGATTTCAAGGACCTTTTTCTGTTAGATAACTTAGGTTTGTTTTTTGTTTTTGTTTTTTTGTTTTTTTTTTTCATTGCACCCAGTCAACAAGGGGCTAAAATTAAAAAGGAAAAACTACCCGGAGTTCTCAAGAGGCTTAGCTGATCTCTTCCCTCCCCAGCTGGAACAGGCGATTCAGCGTCTGCAGAAAAGGCTAGCTGGTAATGATCTTTCACAGAGCAGCAGCTGGGGGAGGGGAGGGAGAGGGAACACTGCCCCAAAGAGGGACAGGTGTCAGGCAAAGTGGATGCTGGCAAAGGCCTCCATGCACAGAGCCGGCCCCCTCCTCGACCCCTCTGTGTGCCGGGGAACAGCTCGTTCCTGACGAATGACAAGGAGAGAGTGGCCAGAGAGGAGTCAAGGCGTGGCCGTGAGCCCAGTCCTTGCCGACAACAGCCACGAGTGAGCAGCAGCTCCAACAGGAAGCTGATGAACCCGAATGGCCTGTCCAGGAAAGCTGAGTGGCCCCCCTCACTCTCTGGAACGGAAGAGGACTCGGGACCTGGGAGGCTTCAGGTGGCCCGGAGGCCAGAGACATAAGCAGACCGCTTTGAAGGCACCTCTACTCGGAAGCCCTCCTTCCTTCCCTCCTTCCCGAAGGTCTCCCCCCAAAAGCAGTCTGAGTGGTTTCGAGGAGGAAGGATCTAGAAGGAAGGAGGGAGGATAAGTCATCTCCTGCCTACACCTTTTAAATAAAATTCAGATTTAAATAAAATGCAGATCCCTGCCATGCCCTGCCAGGCCTCCTCCCTGCAGCTCTGAGTCTTCCTTGGTGCTATTTTTCCCTTTTTCGTGGCACTCAGGTCTTGGGGACATTTTTTTCAGCTCTTTCCTGGGGTAGGGCCTTTGTACATGCTCCCCTCCCTCTGCCCGGTCCACTCTCCCCCATCTTTGGAACTCAGCCACCTCTGACCCTTCAACCTAAACTTGTTCTCCTCTTGAATTTGCAGTGGGGTTGCTGTAACGTTGTTCTTTCCCTTCAAAGCACTTGTCGCAACTTATTTCAGGTGTATGTCTGCGAAGCTAACCCATCTCTCCCACGAAGCCAGACTCCACGAGAATGGGGACTGGCAGGCCGAATAATACCGCTCTGCCCAAGAGGTCCAATCCTATTCCCTGGAAACCATGACTGCATCCTCTTCCATGGCAAAAGGGCCTCTGCAGGTATGATTAAGTGAAGCATCATGAGACGGGCAGGTTATCCTGGATCCTCTGGGTGGGCCCTAAGTGTAATCATATGGGTCCTTACAAGAGGGAGGCAGACAGATCCAAGTCAGGGATGGAGAGTCAGAGATGTGACGATGGAAACAGGGGTGGGAGAGGTGTGGAGCCACGTGCAAAGAAGGGATGCAGAAAGCCACTAGAGGCTGGGAAAAAGCAAGGAGGTGGAATCTCTCCTAGCCCCCCAGGCAAAACCAGCCCTGCGGACACCTTGATGTTTAGCCGGGTGAAACTGACTTTGGACTTATGACCTCCATCACTGTAAGGTAATACATTTGGGCTGTTTTAAGCCACTAAGCTTGTGGTGATTTGTCACAGAAGCCACTGGAAACTCATACAGGGCACGGCTGGTTTGTATACTGCTCCAAATCTAGTGCCTCGTATAGGACTGGTACATAGTAGATGCTCAATAAATATGTGTATGGAACTAGATGGGTGAATGCAGTCTGAGGGCCAGAAGATGACTTGAAGAGAGAAAACTGCAGCCCTGGGAAGTGCAAGAATTTCAAGTCATTCATTCGTTCATTCAATCCCTCCCTCATTAAAAAAACAACAACAACAACATTTAATTAGTGCCTTCAGCAGTAGGCAATGTGTTGGGTTTCAGGTATAGAGGGGTAAATGAAGCAGACATGTGTCTTAGTCTCATGGAGCTGACAATTCTGATTATCATGAGGACATGGGCACTAAATAAGTTAACAAATGAACAAGATCATGGCAGGGAAGGAGGAGCACTGTTGAGCATAAAGAGGGAATCAGGGTAGAGTAAGGGGAGGTGGGCGGTTCTGCAAGGGAGGAAAACCCCATGAGCCACTCACCAGGTCAAACATGGCCCCAGGATTTGGAAGGGAGTGGCGGAGAACAAGGAGGTCTATCACAGATCCTACCAAGTCTATACCTGATGCTCTTGGTTTTCTAAATAAAAACTCTTCTTTCGTATGTCATGAGGTTAACAAGTGAGCCAAATGCCTATTAACCCCACGGACCCTTTTGGAAAAGAACGTTCTAGATCAGTCAATGCTGGGGACTGGTTATGCCTATGCATTAGCTGGAATAGTCTTTAGAAAACTCAACAACTGGCACGGAACCATGGTCAAAGCTGCTTTCCCGTCAGCAAAGGTTCACAGTCAAGAGTGTGACAGTGACGAGGGCCTTATATGAACAGGATAGGCACTTGTCATTCTGAGGGAATTTTGCTAAAACCTCCTAAGTCAAGGGAGAAGGTCTGGCTGCTCCTCTGGAAGGTCCCATTTTGCTTTCCATTTCAATATTGCATTTTATTATTACTATTCAATTACAAAACTGGTGCATGCTCCTTGGTATTCTATATGTTGTAGCAATGCATAAAATAAAATTATTCTTCTTAGAAATAGCTGCCATGAAGTTCCTATAGACTTTTTTTGGGGTGCATATACACAACTATATATACACCCACATATAAACATATGTATACAACTATATATAATTATTTTAGAATACAGAGGATGTAGGGGCGCCTGGGTGGCTCAGTTGGTTAAGCGACTGCCATCGGCTCAGGTCATGATCCTGGAGTCCTGGGATCGAGTCCCGCATCGGGCTCCCCGCTCAGCGGGGAGTCTGCTTCTCCCTCTGACCCTCCCCCCTCTTGTGCTTTCTCTCTCTCAAATAAATAAATAAAGTCTTAAAAAAAAAAAAGAATACAGAGGATGTTATTATACCAACTGCTTTGCAAATCACTTACTTTCCCACTTAAACTGCATTGTGGATCTCTTTCATGTCAGGATATCTATAAGGAGCCACCCCATTCTTTTTAAGGGCCCCTGAATCTTTGGTTATGCAGATATATTACAGTGTATCCAACCATTCCCCTCTTGGGTTGAGTCCAGATTCTCCACTATTGCAATGAAATCGTTACATATAGATCCCTGTGCCCTATGCAAGCATACCGGTATATAAAGTCTTAGAAGTGATATTGCTGGTCCAAGGAATGTACATATAAAACTTTGATAGACAATGCAAAATTACCTTCTCAGAAGGTTGAATTCAATTCCTACTCCTAACACCCGGGTATATGAGGATTTCCTCTTTATTTCCAGAATTCTGATTAGGGCCCATATGAATTAGCAGTGATGGTGAGAAATGCCAAAAATGGTAGCCATGGTAGTTTTTTTTGTTTTGTCTTCTTTTTTTTTTTTTTTTTAAGAGAGAAAGCAGGGGAGGGGAAGAGGGAGAGGGAGAGAGAGACTCTCAAGCAGGCTCCACACCCAGCGTGAAGCCCAATGTGGGGTTTGATCTCACGATCCTGAGATCACAACCTGAGCCGGCATCAGGAGTTGGACGCTCAACCAACCGAGCCACCCAGGCGCCCCAGCATTTGTTAAGATCTTCAATGAGACAGGCACTCTGCTCAGCTTTGTACGTCTATGATGAGGTTTAGTCCTTCAATGATTCTATGAAGCAGATACTATTATTATCCCCATTTTACAGAGGAGGAAACAGAGGCACAGAGCGGTAACTGATTTGCTCAGCATGATGCAGGTATTAAGTAGTAGAGGTAGCATTTGAACCCAAGCAGCCCAGCTCCAGAGCTCAGAGGACCTTGCAGCCCACTCCCCAAATATCACTGTCATGAGATGCTCCGGAGTAGGTGCAGATCCTCTGGCAGGCAAGCAGCAAATCAGCAAGGACCCCGCCTCAGGGACCCGACCGAAGGAATGAAGAAGCTCAGGGAGACCAGCGATCAGCCCTGGTTAGCCAGGTGTCTTGTCTAAAGATGTCAGCAGAGTCTTTGAGGGACAGAAAGAGTTATGGCACTCTGACACACGGTTCTGCCTTAGTCTACAGCCATACCATCCTGAACGTGCCCAGTCTCGTCTGATCTCGGAAGCTAAGCAGGGTCGGGCCTGGTTAGTACTTGGAAGGGAGACCAAAAGACCCTTTACCTCTCTGAGCCTCAGGACCCTAAAGGACCTCTTAAGGTCCTTTCTCAGCCCCTGGCCGTTAAGCAAGCAGCAAGCAGCAAACAGTTTCAGGGACAGTACCCGAAGTTAGTGTCCAAGGGGGGGCGGGTGGAGCAACTCTAAGAAAGCACCCAAACCCCCACTTCTTCCCAGATTTGGGGGCTCCACGAAGCGTCAAAGGGTCTTTCTTCCATTCACCCTGTTCCAGGGAAATGGAAATGGACAACCCCAGAGGTGACAGTGGGAGCCCCCAGCCTGTGGGCATAGAGGGCAATTTTGGCCTAATTGACTCGGGGAAGCACATGCTGAGATGATTCCAGGTGCTGACTCACATTATGGTCTTTGGTGGCTGCCAAGCGAGTGGCCTTCCCACCGGACAGAGACAAGACTGCCTCAGGCTTGAACTTCACACACAAAAAAATCCCCATATCGCCAAGACTTCAAAATGTGCCCTATTCCTACGGACATAGCCCTGATCAAAACAGTGTGGGCAGGTGACAGCTTGTCCTTAAATCAGTAGTTGTATCTGGGTGCTGCTTAGGTGTGGGAGTGGACCCCCATTTGCCTACCCGCCACTCACTCGTGGCTGATTAGGCTTGGAAGTGTGACCCGTAGCTGAGAACCTGGATTTCCTCCCCTGCATGAAGCTCGCTGGCTCAGGTGGAGATCAGCCCCTAGATCAGCACTGTCCAGTGGAACTTTCTATGATGATAAAAATGTTCTATACTCTGCACTGGCCAATATGGCAGCCACCAGCCCCAAGTGGCTACTGAGTAATCAAAATGTGGCTAATGTGGCCAAGGAATTAAAATGTTAATTATATTTAATTTTAATTCATTTAAATTTAAATAGCCACATGTGGCTAGTGGGCACCATATTGAATAACACACATCTAGATTGTGGTTCCCACTGGCCAAGCCAGACCTCATCCCTCCAGCCTCCTTCCTGCAAATATGGCCAAGCTAGGAAGTCCTTAGGGCCCTAGAAGAGGAAGTGAGCTGGGCTGGACCTCAGAAGAGGTGGGAACACTCTTAGATCTGGTCCTCCTGAGCAGAGAGGGATCTCTTTCTTAAGTTTAATGACAAAGGAGGCCAAGAAACCAAACATCTCATGAGTGGCTTCTCCAGCATCTCATAGCCCGGTGCATGGTCTCAGGTCAGCAGCCAGGTCCCCTGGAATTTGTGAGCTGGGAGAACCTTCTGGATCCTCTTATCCATCTGTATCCTTTCAGGGGTGGGAAAACTGAGGTTACAGGTCACACGGCAGGAACAGGGCAGAACTGGATACTGAATCCAGGACTCCAGCTGTTCATTCCAAGCCCTATCCTGATACCTGGAGTAAGACTCCATCCAAATGCAGCCCTGCTCAGCTGCGGCCCCAGGATCCTGATGCCAATTCCAAGCTATTTAGCTTATGAGACAACTGCCAGCTTGAGTAGATGCCCTCCCCACCATGACTGATACTTCGTTGCAGACACTGGGTTGCTGTTGGCCCTTAGTCTACGGCCATACCACCCTGAGCGCGCCCGATCTCGTCTGATCTCGGAAGCTAAGCAGGGTCGGGCCTGGTTAGTACTTGGAAGGGAGACCAAAAGGCCCTTTACCTCTCTGAGCCTCAGTGTCCTCATCTGTAAAATGGAGCCGAGAAGACTTACTTCATGGCCACCCTAAAGATCAAATATGGTAATAATGTGGTGATTGCCCTGCCTATAGGAAGACTCAACCACATGCCTTCAACCCATTGCCTTTAAGCACGGACTGACCCGGACATGGCTCTGGTTCGAGCCCAACCCCCCCTCCCAGCGACACCCCAAGTGCAGAGGTACCTGGCAGGTTGAAGTTCTTCTGCTGCCTCGTGCACTGAGGGGAAGGGTGCAGGGGAGAAGGCGGCGTGGCGCTGGGAGGGAGGGGGGGTGCTGGCGAGGAGGGCGTGGAGGACGTTGTGGATGAGGGATTGCTGCTAGAGTCTGGCTGGTAAGGGACAGGGATGTGGTCCTGCAGAAAGAAAACGGGGGAGGGGCCAAGGGGAGGCAGAGAAGCAGAGATACAGCAGTGAGAGTGAGCAAGCAGGAAGGAACCCCATGCCAGCATTCTTAGCCTCCCCTGCCCTCAGCCACCAGACCCTTCCCACGTCCCACCTGCTTCATCATCCCCGCCCACCAGCTGGTTTGCATCCAGCTGTGGAAGGAACAGTTTCTGGCATCAATTTTCCGCCCGCTGTCTGGACTCCAGAGCGAAAGGTTACCACGTAATGAAAGCCACGTAGGTGACAGCCACGCTCCCTGTGCTTTTTGATTTTGGAAAGTCCCACGCCAAGGTGCCCAGAGTGCTCTTTCCATTCCTAACACCTTTCCTCCCGAGTGTTTATTAAAGAATCAACAGCCTGACAGCTCCAGAGAGAGTGCGAGAGCGAGCCTACAGCTTCTTCCCTCACATCTCATTTGGAGGCGCCACTGCCTCTCCTGGACCCCGAACCTGCTCTAAGCAAACATGAGGCCAGAATCCACATGTACACCATCAGAATCAGGAGCAGTGTCGTGGCTTGAAGAGTGTCCCCCAGTAGACCTACCCCTTGGGAAACTCAGAATGTGAACTTCTTTGGAAAAAGGTCTTTGCGGATGTAATTGAAGATCTCCAGAGGAGATCATTCTGGATTAAGGTGCACCCTAAATCCAGTATCAAGTGTCCTTATAAGAAATGGAAAATGAGAGGGGCGCCTGGGTGGCTCAGTCGGTTAAGCGTCTGCCTTCGGCTCAGGTC